TTTTTCCAACAACTTTTTAAAACTTTTTGCAAAGAAGATGAATTTAAATGTTCCTCAATTGCAAAAGTTTTCGGCGGGTTGCCAAAAACTACCAGTTTTCGATACTTTTTTTCGCGGCAACAGCACCGCATTTGCTTCAAGGTGGGGGGGAAAGTACCAGCTTTGAAGTCCAGAAGAAATTGGGCCTGTTTTTTTATTCCGTCCCCCGTCCGCTGGAAAAAAAAAAATGGAGGGCAAAGGGTTTTGGTTTTTAATTCGTTGGGAGGCAAAGTGGCAAGATAAAAGCTTAGAGAAAATAATTCATTTTCCAAAAGGTTTTGCAAGAAAAAGAGACTTTAATTTAATGCTCGATTTTGAAAATTCGCAAAAAACAAATCAAACAAATTTTTTTGCCCTTGGGAAAGCCGCCAAAATTTTATTTATCATTTTAATTTTTTTTTTTAAAATTTAATTTCTAAATTTTTAATGTTTTGTTTTTTTAAAGAATTTTGGCCATTAATTGACAAATACAAATGGGGTTGGGGGGCCAAAAGGCTTTTTTTTTTTAAGGGTTGCACCACCCATTAAAACAACCCTCTAGAATTTTTCCGCCCTGCTTTGCCCTGAGGAAAAAAAATGTTAGAAAAGGAAGAGGAAGTGAAACGGTAAATCGAAAGTGAAATTATCAAAGAAAGTTAAGAAGTTGAATTTTGGTTTTTTTTGAGAAAGAAAAAAGAAAAAACGTGAAATAAAAACTTCATTTAATAAAGCTAATTAGTTTGCTGCCCAGCGGAAAAGAGTTTTTTCTTCCTTTTTTTTCATTTTAAACGTGCAGCTTTAGGGCCCTAAAATTCTTTTAATTCAAAAACAAACGAGAAACCAAAAGAGAACGGCCCCCTTTTATGAAAAGTTGCCTTGTTTTAAATTAATTTTTAAGGTTTGTTACAAGAGAGTGTTTTTTTTTGGTTTTTTTTGGGAATCAACAAATAATTTTTTTCAATTAGAAAAGAAAAATTGGGACAAGCAAAACAAAAACAATTGAAGGGCCGCTTTAACACAAAATCTTCAAATTTGGTTGGTTGCGCTTGTTTGTGCCCAAACAACTTCCTAAAAACTAAAGCACACAGTGGCAAGAAAGGATGTTGTCAAGGAAATCCATAGCAAAAATAACAAAACTAATTTTAGTAAATGCTTTTTCCAAATCTTTTATTTGCCTTTCCAAAATTTTTCTTAGCAAAAGATCTCAAACTAATCAGGCTTGGAAAGAGCAACGTTTTGCATAATAAAATTTTAATGCAAATGTTTATTTTTCTGACTGAACATGGTTGCAACAAACACTGGATTTTTTCAACGCATTTGTGAAAAGAAAAAAAAAAAACACGAAAAACGCAAAAGCCCTTTGCAAGCGAAAATTGAAAAAAGTTTTCATTTATCTTTTTGCCTTAGACTGGAAAAAGAACCACGCCTTTTTAATCTAACAAAACAGCCTTGTTTTTATGGGTTTTTTTTTATTTTTTTACAAAACAACAATAGATTCCACATCTTTGCAGCAATTTTCTATTTTGCCGGCTGTTAAGCTTCATTTATTTTTTCCCTTTGCAAAGCTTTTTGGTTGAAAATTTAACCTATCTTAATGCAACTGCAAAAAGAAATTTTTTGGTTTTTTCTTGCACAAGGCCTGGTTAGCCCAGTCAACCTTGTACCCTGTTTTGCAGCTTTTCCAAGCCCCTCCCCATTCTACATTCCGCCTTGCTTGAAGCTTTCCTTTCTCTTTGACTTTTTTTTGTTTTTTTTTTTTTTTTCTTTGAAAATTGTTGGCCCACCTCCTTTGGAGGCAAAAAAACTGAACCTGGTTTCCCCCTGTTTTTCCGGCCTTTTTTTTTGCGCTTTGAGCGGCTGGGTTTTTTAAGACACAATTGTTCCACCCTCCCTTTCAACAAACTCTGCAGGAAAAGCCCTATTGCCCTGGATTGAAAAAAAAAACTTTCAAGGGTTTTTTTTTTAATTCCCTTGGGCCTTTTTAAAACTCTTCCTCTTCCACTCTCAAATACAAATTCAAACCAAATTTTTGTCTTGAAAAACACCAAATCCAAATCAACTTGTTTTAAAATTCTAGGGAAAAGTGGGGGCATCAAAATCCATCGGTTTTTTAATTAATCTTGAATCCTTAACCTTTTTCCCTATGCAAATAAAAAAATCAAATTTTGCGAAGAGTTAATCCAAATGATTTCCTGAACAATATGCAGCGCTGGCATCGTTTTGGCCTCGATCTTTTTTTGGCGACGCCACTTTACAATCAAATTCATGCACGCGTTAATTACAAGAAAGCAAGACCTTTTTTTTTTTGAGCCTTTCCAACCAGAACAAAAAAAAACTGCTTTGCTCTGGCCACAGTTTTTTTTGAAAGGCAATTGGAAAAGAAAAATTGCGAACCAGCCCTGACCTTCGTCAAACCTCTGGCATTTCTTTTTTCTGCCTGCCAACTCCCTATTTCTCTCCTTCTGACTGTGCTCAACTTTTCCCTTTTGCATGGTCTTTTGTACCATCTTTTCTCTTCTCAGTTCGACATTCTGACATAAAGTGTTTATCACAACTGCACATCACTGTACTTTCGTTTATTTGGACTTACATCAGTCTTGCACACAACAGGAGTCTGCTAATCCCGGTGTCTAGTCCACTGGTGTGAGACACAGTGTATCTGAGTCCCTACCAGAGATAGGACACATGAGCCAGGCCTCGTGTGCCTTTTTGTTAATGCACTCAGGGCTTCCCCTGGCACAGGAACAGAGGCTTTCGCTAATATCAAAGCAGTCTCTTGATGCGGATTTGTGAAACACCCGGGAGCTGCAGGGCCAAAGTCCTCAGTTCAACGATAGAAGGGAGATTTAAGAAAAGTTATTAAATGGCAGTAATGTGTGTGGGTGTGGATGTGTGTGTGTGTGTGTGTGTGTGTGTGTGTGTGTGTGGTTCATAAACAGATAACTAACAAGTGACTAATTTATTGTGACTTTCATCTAGATCTTTTATCCAGGAGATAGCTGCTAGTTTTAGTGAAAGCCATTAAAAACGTCCTCTATGCTTTTGATTATTTCTGATTTGTGGTGGCTCCTTGATGGGAAAGTCATTATAAATTTGACCACTGGTGGTGCTGTGGAGCAATTATTTTGATGAGTGTCTTTTTCCCACTAGTCATTGGAATTTTGGCTCTTTTTAGTGATCCAGATCATTTGACTCAGGTTGTGTAATAAGAGCCGGCTCTTACGGCTCACAAACGGCTCTTCATTTACCACTTCTGGCTTTTATTTTTCAGCAAAATTATGCCAATAGCCAAATTTAGCAATATTTTGTCCTATGATTGGTATGTGTGCACTATATCACTTAAATTTAACCAATTTACCAAACAATTTTCCAGAATAACATAATTTTTACATTATGCTTGGTATTTATATTGAGCTATGTTTTGTTTGTTGGCGACCAGTGCAACCACTGACAGTAGCAACATACAGAAGTCTAACCATACTTGTGTCTTTAAGTTATACATTAAGCACACACACGGCTGCTGACTGCATCATGTGGCAGTTGTTGCAAATGTTTGGTGGGAAGAAGATGGTAAGAATGAACTGAGTAGATTTACATTATGATTAATCTGCATTATGCTAAAGAGATTTGCAATATGAATATACAGGAAAAAAGGTGTGAGCATGCAGCTAGTTTAACCCATTTTGATCTTAAAATATTAATTAGTTATGCTAATAATATATGCTAATGTTTAAATCATAGGCCTTCCATCCCATAAGGTTGTTTTGCAATGAAAATATTTTTCACTACTCTAATAAATAGGACAGACAAGCTTTATTTTAACAAGATTAAAAGTCAATAACACTGCGTACAGTTGACAAACAATCAATATAATTTGACACTATGTTTGAGAACAAGACATTTTGTTTTCATTTAATTTATTTCAGCGCTTTGATTTAGAACGGTGAGCAGACCGTTTCACTGGACCTGCTTAGTAGGTGTCCTACATCAGGAATTAATGGGCACTCTGTAGCTAATCAAAATTGAGTATTCACCCATGGTACATCCATGGGTATAACAGCTATAAATACTGCCATGTTATCATCTTATCATCTAACAGTCGCTCATTAACATATCCAGCAGACACAGAGCAACATGAGCATTCACTAGGTGTTTCAGGGTTAGGGTTTCAACCTGAAGTCCAGTAGAACCCACCGCATTACCATCGAATGACTTAACTTTGCTGTTACTTAAGTTGGCTTGTCTCACAGAGGCTTATGTTTGACCTGAGGAAAAGAAAGTTGTTCCTGAAGTCTGCTGTTCTGTGGCCCTCACTGTGGGATGCTGGTTGAACTGAGGCTCCGGCCCTCTGAAAAGAGACTCACTGACTCGTATGCTCATATTAATGCCCCGAGTGCTTTTGTCCGCTCTGCTCCACAGATCTTGAAGAGTGCGCAAGTCAACTGTCTTTGTCGTCTGTGTTTGCTATGAACTCCAGCCTCTCCAAATGTCATCCTGAATCAGCCTCTGCTGCAGTGCTTTGTACATGAGTCAAGCTGTCTCATCCCATTGCAGTCGTCTCTGTCTCTGTGGTGGAGCACATGTGACATTTTAACTAGAGTGTTTTTTCTGGTGTGCAGAGGAGAACGAGCTGCTGTTCTCAGTTTTCTCAGCTGTGGCGTAATAGGTTGCACAATCAGGACAATTTAATGTCCATTTTAGAGGTCACAAGGCCATTTAAAGAGTGGGAAAAAATACTTTCTACTTACTGTTTTTTTTATTACAAAATGAACAAGAGTGGACAAACACAACATGAAGCACCCCTAGCCCTGCAGAGGACATGAGTGCTTCTAAATATTCAGTGTTTTCTGTCTCTAAATGGCCTCTAGATGGATGTGGTAATATGACCCTGAATGAATGTATATGATGTGAGTCACTTTCTGTGGCCATGACGTACTTTATAACGTCAGTCTATAAAGTCCTTTTTTTCTTTCCTCTTATAGAGTTCCTGCCCTCCCAGTAAAGAACCTGACTGGATCTGGACCAGTGCACCCAGCACTAGCAGGTTAGATAACATTCATTGTACAGCACCTGCAAAAACAACTATGAAAAAAGTCATTTTTGTATTTAAAGTAAAATGTCATGCTCATATTGATCTTGAAAGAAATTTACAATCAGTGCTTTTTCCACTTCTTCGTTTGTGTGTATGTGTGTGTGTGTTGTACATATGCATCAGGTATGACAGGTATCCTGATGTGCGCTGCAGGTCTGCCGGTTTGCCTGACTCGGGCCCCCAAGCCCATTCTGCACCCGCCACCCATCAACAAGAGTGACATGAAGCCTGTGCCAGGGATCAACGGCATGCGCCGCAAAACCAAGAAAAAGCACCTGAGGAGAGGTAAGATGGAGGGAATTCAATTATATGAAAACAAAGTGGAAATGCTGTCATTGTATTTGTATAGTGTGTTTGTGAATACAAAATGAAATGCATTGAGGAGAGGAATAGACCAACCACTGATAGTCAGCAGACTTTCTCTGTCCTGCCAAGCTTTGCAGGATGTTTCCGTATCAGCTGTCTCTAAGTCTGTTGTTTAGTGTGCAAAAAAACCCAAAGCTGTTTTTGTTGTGATCAAGGAGCTGTAATTGTTCTTTAAATGCCTCCCATTTAAGCTCTATAAAGGTGTTACAATAAATCTAACCTCACCCAAGGTTGCTGAAAGCATTCGTGTACCCTTTTAAAAACAAAATGCTGCTATTAAATGTAATGATAATTGCCAGTTCAGATTTATGAGCAAATGTGGTGAAAGTGTTACTGTAACCATTTTATAGATGTGACATTATGTGCAGATTGACAGAGGCAGTTGTAAGGAAAGTAATTAACAAGGGACTGTTGCACTGAGCTGATTTGCGAGGGGTTTTGGTGTTTAGTTGGGCGGCTTTGGGCCCGAATAAGTGCTGGTCGATGGAAGCCGTGGAAACCAGCCTCCCAAGGGACTTTTTGTCCTAATTGATCAGTGAGGCTGTTGGGTTTCCATCCCTGCACTGTGATTGTCCTGTTCAACCCTTTAGAGCTCTCCATTACTTACTGGTAGGGAGATGATGCAGCAGAACTTTATTTTACGGGCCCCTAGTTTCCTATAATTTACTTGGAAGAAAATGATATGTGATTGTAAATGTACAGGAAGGGTCAGATTTATAGATTATACCGATTAAAGTATGTAACAGTATTAATTATAGGAAAAATGGAGATTTAACATTACATAGGCACAGCGATGGTTGAAGCGAAATGCTAATGTCAGCATGCTAAGATGATAGACCGATGCCCTACAGCCATGCAGAAACTGGAACTTTGTCTCTATTTAAATTGTATTTTCAGTGTCATTGCGATGTGAACATGCTCGATGAACACATGGGAAAAGAAATGCAATGAATCACAAAGATAATTTTATTTAGAGATGGGTGCAGAAACCAGGTATTAAACAGGCCCCAGAGCTAAAGAGCATAGTATTTATTGTCCTTAATTATGCACACAGTTCATGACAACTGTACTGGACCAAAATAGAGACCAAACAAATAGGTCTTTTTTTTGTATCTGTAAATATGTATATTTCTGCTGTAAAGTTAGGGCCTTTTAATATGGAGCCTTATGGAGATCACTCACTTCTGTAGCCAGACTCAAGTTACTTCTGTATTGGCTTCATTTGCAAGCCACGGAGGTTGCCACTTAATTTTTCCCCATAATTAGCGCCAAATTACACAGTTCTTTATGGATCTTTAAAATGTGTTACCGTGACACTGCAGGTTGAGGAACGATGCAGCAGACAGACTTGTACTCAGAGATACTGGAGGGCTGGGAAGGGAATGGAGATGGATTTTTCTCGTGCAGGGAGATTTGGGCTTATCCCGCTCTGCTTTCTGTACAGAAAAAGGTCAGAGGCTTTTGATCCGGCTAATGAAGCCATCAAATAGCAACAGCATAAAATGTTTAATTGAGTCTCTTCTGTCTCCCTCCTCCTTTTCCCTGTTTTCTCTCCTCCCTCGCTTCATAACTCTCTGCCTCCTTTGTCTTCCCTAACCTTTATACCGTATACATTTTTTTTGCTCAGTCTGTCACTTTCCACTCCTCTCCCTCCCTCTGTTCGCTGGCTGTCCCTCAAATGAACAAACAAAAGGCTCTGGGGGAAAAGAGGTTGCCTGTAAGCGTATTAGGGGTGTAAGCTGTGGGTGCGCTCTCAGCCATGCTAGCCTGGTTGCACACAGGGATTATCAGAGAATGCGGGAAAGGCTGGTTGTTATGTGCCAGTTTGAAGGTGACCTCCTCTTCAACATCACAGACAACACGCTCAATTCACGTGCACGCTCACACTCTCTTATCAGCAAAAAGTGAGGCTCGCCCAGGCCAGAGTGGCCTCTGAAACTGATGGAAGTTTGTCATCCGTCAAGATGTAGCTGTTATTCTCTTGTGTTAAAATGACAAGCAAATGCCATCCAGTGGTCTGTCTTGCTTTTTGTTCATACTTACTCGCGGTGTGTGGGTGTAAGTAAGTGGCAAGTTTTGCTTTTCTTTGATGGTCATCTCATCTCTCTTATGATTTATTCTGTGACAAGGGAAAAACCCAGAGGATGTGGTGCGAAGATACACAGAGAAGATTAAAGTGGTACCAGATGAGGTAAGAAAAGCACACAAAAGTTTTGTGCCCACCAAGAGATGCACTCTGTCACCGTTTGATGCCCTAACCAAGTGTGAAAGTCTCATAGGTACACAGTCATGTAGAATGGCAGATGAAGTATTTTGCTTGGCTATTCCAGGACTGTACCATCTGCATGGAGAGGCTGGTCATGTCATCAGGCTATGAAGGCGTCCTGCAGCACAAAGGCATCAAGCCAGAGCTGGTGGGCAAACTTGGCAAGTGTGGGCACATGTACCATCTGCTGTGCCTGGTGGCCATGTACAACAATGGCAATAAGGTGGGTAAAAGCTTGTGAGCCAGACGTTGTTATGATGTCACTCTAGGCTCATATTATAAACCCGCTAGGTCTTACAGCTTGACTGGATTGAATGGCATTGGCAGATGATCAGGCTTCAATATTGTCACACACAGATGGGGATCTTACATTGTTTCAGTCATATCAGCCTTGACAGCACAATATTTTGTAAAATCATTAGAAATTCTGCTCACTTCGGTTTACTTGCATGAGCTACAAATGTACCGCTTGCTGATGCAGAAGAGGCAAATACAAGAAGATTTAATGAGCTGCCATCAGTGTTACATTAACAGCAGTAGTTGGTCTAATGATCAAATCAGTCCAAGAATTTGTGTTAAACACACACATTATCATTACATTATCACACAAATAGCAAAAATCCTATTTAC